TAAGTCCTGTACAGGTGACCAGTCTATCTCACACAGATTATAAAAAGATGTTGTATTTTGGAGTAGTTTTACTGGGCTGCGATGGTCCCCTGTAAAGTAAAGGTGTACTGTGGAGTCTGTCAACTTCCTCTAAAGCTGTTTTTCTCCAGAGAGTGCCCGGAAGTCATGTCACTACACTTGGGATTGCTAGAGGCACTGAATACTGACAAATACATTGTCTGAGCTTTGCTTTTCTCTTAACTCCAAATACCACTTCTCTTTTGTCCACACTACCCTATTAAGTCCTACTCAACAGCTTAACCTGTGACAAACTGACCCTCTAAATAGCCTCTTGTGCGTGTGCACACACCAAAAAATCAGTATATTGTGTGGCATTTAATCCAATATTTACACAAATGTGCCATCTCCCCAGACACTGTCTCCCTTGAGAGGTGTCAAATCTATACAGGCAACATTTCACACCCTTTCTCACACTTAAGCCTGTAAAATATAAGCCTGTATTTGGCTAAGCACGGATAAGGGAATAGATTACATGTTTACAAAGTATAAGATTCCAGTCACTAACATGCTATGACATATATTACATGCCTGTTAGATTATAATCTAAGATACAGGTGAAAAGCAGCAGGAACAACTGGATTGTCTAGATTTGGATTGGCTCCGAAAAGAAACATGTAAGACATTCCCAGGTGATAGCTACACTGATAAACCCAATAGAGGCGTTCCAATAATAGGAAACTAGTTACATTTCACCACAGTTGGTCCATTGTGCTGAAGCTGCAGGGGGGCCCACACCCTGACCAGGCTGCTTAATGACTAAAGTTTCAATAATAATAGGAGTGAGAAGTGAGGGAGGAGCAGCCTCCTCTGGTTTCTGTGTGAGTACGGGCGTGCTCACATCCATCAGCCTGCTCATGTTTGAGTGTGTGTATACATATTTGTGTGTCAAAACAGTATAAGCAAGCACTTCACAGACCACCATGGCAACAGGACATAAAACCTGAATTATTCAATCAGCATGTCTGAAACTTCCAGTCGAGTAGGCACAGGCAGACCAACATGCACTCTTATACAGCTTAAACATTCATGTGTGCCAGCAGACCAAAACACACCTTGTTGTGCAGTCAGTTTTAAACAGAAACTACGTGACAACCAAGCAGTGAAAGTAATATAAAGCATTTACCAAACAGTTGGGAACCATTGCAGCTACTAACAAATCGACTCTGACTTTCTAGAGTTAGAAATCTCTCTTTTTATATGTGACAGACACAAACATGTGAAGGGAGGTCAGCCTGATGTTGGCATGAACAACTGAAATGCTTTGAAATGCTCATCCATTTTTGTGATTTTGGTTTGAATTTGAAATTTCAAACTGTTCCAAATGCTCTTTAAAATATCTTTACACCAAGTGTAATCTGTTGGCAGGGATTTCTTAAATGTAAGTATTGCCAATCATTTTTGCATACGAGCTTCAATACACATTCATCTGATATGTTACAGTTTTTACTCAGTAACATTTTCAGTCGCTGTTTTCCTGTTCAGGCAACTTTTTAAACTTAAACAGCATTTGATTAACTGTTTTTATCAGATTTAAGTCCATGATAATAGAGTAGTATATCCACATGAGGGGGCTGTTGAGCTACTTGTGATGTCATTATTATGCTACAGTCCAGGGAGGGAGGACTCTGTGATGAACGTTCGACAGTTTTATCCGTCTTTTATGTAATATTAACAGAAGACATGTACACTCTCTTCTACATGCCATTTGCAATGATTTCAGAGTGTAAGTCAAACAACTTTCTGCCCTGCACGACCAGCATCCTCCACAGCAAAATGCAAACACAGCGGTGTGATCTTGATCCACCAGTGCAAATACATGTGTGCTTTGTGTAGACTGCTGTGATTGACTGAAGTGCACGTGCACAGGTAGAATACACCTTGTTTATTCAGGCAGCTATAAACGCTGAGCTGAAACCTGTAGGTCTGCATTCCTAACTGTTGCAAAATCCAATTGCAGGATTTGAGATGGTGGTTTCGCTATGTGGCCAGTAGATGGCAGCATAGGATGAAAAGACAGCTATGTGAGAAGAGTGAAAACCAGGAATCAGGAGGTCTAAGTGAGTACATTCCTCCCTACAGCTCTCTGCAAAACTTTAGGGTAAAAGTCTGTGAGCAAGAACTTTACTCCTCTATAGAGAAGACTGGAATAAATGTAACTATAATGAAAGTAAACTGTAGTTTTTCATCTCCAGTGTGTATCAAAGCCTCCATTGGGGAAGGCTATAATCAGATCTCTGCCTGTCCGCCCACATGAGCACTTTTCTCCAAAACACACCAACAATAATCCTGCAGTGTTGTGGAGACAGATGGGTCCAGTGTCCAGCAAACTGTAGGCAAAATTTCAGCGCGGTGGGGAAGAATTTGATCAAGTTTTTATTGCTACTGTTGACGGAGGCCGGCCTGTCCCATCGAAATCCCTGTGGAGGGGAAGTGTTTGCGTGTTTCTGAGTGTACATGTGTGTAAGGCAGAGAGAGCAGAGTGTGGGGAGACAGTGAATATGTCTGTCTTTACACAATGTGTCTTTGTGAGTCCTTGGCGTTGCGTTGGAGAAAAAGAACTGTCTGCTGGACAGAGAGAAATAGATTTCTAGTTGGAGAGGCTCCCCTTCTTCTTGGACGTCTTTCCATTTGCTCATGACTATCTCACAGTTGTTACCTTGTATTATTACCAATTTCTTCACCTTCTTTTTTAACTGGATATTCTGATAGCTTCCCTTTTGTAGTAACACTTGCTCGATATATCCCCCTTCCTCTTTCCTTGTACTTTTAAAAACACGTTCTTTAACAGTCTTGAGCTCTTTACTTCCTTGTGGTGCAAAATCCCTGAACAGGATTTTATCTTTCACACTCTGAAGTACATGAATGAGCACAATACTCTCTCCCCTAAAATGTTGCATTGTTTGCGACATTCATGGATAATACTTCCTTTTGCTCTATATGTTTCAGTGTTGTAAACTTCCTCTCAAAGCCTTACTAACTATCAAAAAATGCTTGGGAATCAGATTGCTATTAAGACTTTGCAACCTAATCCAGAGCAGGCATGAGAAACAAACAAACGACAAACCACTTTGTACAATTCGGAACTGAGAAGAGATTAAAAGAGTGAAACAAAATTCCCCAGAAAATCATCAAAGGGACAACATTATCAATCATTTCAATTACTTGGAGCTTCCAAACCTCCAAGGAGTTCGACTGACTTAGATTGTGTTTGATATGTCTCCAAGTGTGCAAACAATATGAAGGAGTTTATTTTTGCACAATGTCACAATGTCTCACTCACTTTGGTGAGTTTTTAGCTGAACTGATCAGAGATCTGTAAACCATTAGCAAACACTCTCACAAACAACCCCCCCCCCCCCTCCAATGTCAGAGCAGAGATTACTTCTCATTTTGCCCTTCATTTAAAAAACTTAACTTTTTTACCTAGTGACTAAACTAAAAATTCATGCACCTCACTGAGTATCAAAATATTGGTATCTACACCTTTATCCTGCATTTGGGTGAAGAGAAAATTTGTTTACAAAAAAAAGATGCGTTTTGTCTGCTTCAGGAAGGTACATTTAAAATACAGAAACCTTTTTAAGTGTTGTATTACTGTGTTTTATTATGTATTATTTCCACTTAGAAACCAGAATGATTCCCTAAATACTTTAAAGCAGGTTTGATATAAAAACCTTGATTCCATTCTAAGGTTAATAAAAAAAAAAACAACTGTTGTGCAGGACGTTTCTCTGCTGACGAATACTGGGGAACAAAGGAGTAGCAGTAGACAGCTGAGTCTAAGAACGGAGAAAATCAGGGAGGACCTGCACATTTATAACCGCCCTTCAGGAGATCAACTGACGTTTGGTTGTCTTACTCCAAATGTACTCATTTCTGTGTGACGAGACAGAGCGGTGGGCATGGAGTGACGACATAAAGAGGAGATGCTTTTGTTAGAGGAACAGGCCAACAGAGTGGGGGGAGAGGGGAGCCTGCCTCTTTCCACCACAGGTGCATGCACTTCACATGCAGCATACAACACATCATTGTTTGGCTAAAAGAGTGTTTATTTATGATCGAGGGGACATGGCGAATACACAAGTGTTGTTAATCCAATTATGCAGGAGTGGAACACAATATCCCCGTTGGTGTGCCAGTGCTTGATGTTCGTATGATGCGTTCATATGGTCTGCTCTTGTTTTTGTTTGCCGGTTGTGGAGAGACTGAGCCCAGAGTGTGGCTGTAAACGTGTAGGAGTGTGTTCGGCCAAGATCAGATTGATCAACAGTCTTCCTTAAGTCACTTCCTGGATTCAAACTCTGAGCTCAAATGAAACCAAAGACACACGAGCGTGCATGGTTGTGTGCACTTACTTGCAGAAAAAAAAAAAGCAACGGACAGATCCAGATATATGGTTCTGTGCTTGACTGCTTCTTGTGGATAGTCTTTTTTTTATTTCCCCTTCCTTGACTTGGCTCAGGAAGCCCACACTTAGATTGTCCATCTATCAGTCAGTCAGTGAGTAGGCTGCAGCATAGCAGACATTCCTGCCTTGTGTAGTTAGGGAGCCAGAGAACGGCAAAGGTTGCCAAAAAATCTGTTGCTCCGCAGCATTTTTTACAAGAGGTCCAACTTGTAATGTTGCTTGGCAGCTGGATTTGGTTGGGATCGGACTATAACTGTGCAGCTTCGTTTGTTCTCACGCTTCTTAAAATGGAGCATGTGCCCACTGATCTGGAGGTGGAAAGTAACTTGACGACTCTCTGTGGTTTCAGATACCTTTCCCCCCCCCAAGTCGGGTTTTTGTAATGCAAATATGGTATCTGCATTTCTAAAACGTAGCCATAATCTCCACCTCTGAGGTGCCTCAGAATCAGAAACACGTATTGCTTTAAATCGCCTCTAAGCCGATTAGTGTGTATTTCAAAATCCTGTCATAAGTGCTAGAATGCTTTAATAACATAACAACATTAGTGTGAGAGCAATGTGTCTTAGTCAGCACTGAGATACAGCCTTCAAAGCTATTGCAGACAAAAGTAGTACCGAGAATTACTTTAGCACCCTGCAGTGAACTAAAGTAAATAGGAAATATTTCTAATATTTCAGCTGGAATTTGTATTTGCCTGCAGAGAGGGACCTGACACCATTTTTTTTTTATTTCTTATGTCTTCCAAAGTTCCAAATGTTTTACAAAGAATTCGACACATCTGTTGTCTTTTACGACAGCCTGTTAGTTTGTATCTCGTCACGTCTCGCACATGTGGGAGGCTTTTTACAGTTTTGAGTATCATAATGAAGGGGATTATATGGCCTTGTCTTCCTTTAGCTCCGTGCAAAAGTTCAGTCTGATAACATTCTGATAACTCCAACTAACATGCAACGTGTTAATTAAAGGAACACTTCACTCATTTTATTAATCAGAGCAGGAGGTAACAGATTCATACAGCCATGCTGTACCTCAGAGCTGGACTGTGGGGATTTGGAAATATTGAAACTTTCTGCCAGCACGAATGACCTGCTGGGCATGACATCTAAACGTGATGAAGGCATATGCATATGTCTGCTGACAGTAATGTTATTGTACGCATTCTGGGCTGTCAAAAGAACGGGGGCTCAGGCAGAGGAACTGAGTTAAACACACCCAGTTCACACAAGGTCCGACTCCCTTTTGGCTTCTCTCTAATTTCCCTTTCACTCGGCGCTATCCGACGCCGTCTTTCTCCCTTTGCTCTCTCCCCTCGCAAAAACTCCTTTTCCGCACAGAAAACATGTTGGGAGGAGAGGAGGAGGAGGAGAAAAGAAGAAACGCCTCAGAGGCGACAGGAGAGTGAGGAAGCGGAGAAAGTTGGTGGAGGAGCGAGAGGAGAGCAGAGGGGGCGATCAGATGGAAGGAAGGAAGGGATCTCGGGCTCAATTGCGCGATTAAAAGGACGCGGAAGACATCAACAAATACATAGCGAAGCTTGTCAGTGAAGAAGGAACCGCAGGCGCGCCGCCGCGCCGCGTGCACGCGGACAGGACCGGACCGGACAGGACAAACGGTAGTGCGCTCAAACAGCCAGAGCCTATCTCCTGTTTCTGCCCGGATTTAACTGCTCACGTTCCTCAAACTCTTCGGCAACTTTTAAGGACAGTGTTTGACTAACGTCCTCTCAGTCGCCACTTCCGGGGGGCCGGAAGGACACCGCGGGGAGAGAGTGGTGGAGGGGAACGCCGAGTCGTTCCTTCCGAGGAGTCCAGCGCGTCGTGGCCGTGCTTTAGGCGTTGGCACCCGGGCAGGGAGTCCCTCGTCATGGCCGGGGCCAAGCCGGGAGTCCACGCGCTGCAGCTCAAGCCCGTGTCCGTGCACGAGGTCCTGAAGAAGGGGGGGAAGTTCGTCAAATGGGACGAGGTGAGAGACCCACGTTGAAAAGTTTGATTTCGGTTCAAATGGTACCAGTCAAGAGTTGTCTCTGATTCAAAAGAACACGTTCCGGTGTGAGATTGGGCTTGTGACAGTAGGCCCGTTGTGTGGAAGTGGGTGTCATTTCTATTTCTTTTCTTTTTTTTTTTATTGGGGACATATGTTTGGCGTGCAGGTGTGCAGACCTGCGCAGACACAGACGCCCACTGTGCTGCCAGTGGGCTTTATCAGATACTCAAAGAGGGGGTGAGGGAGGGAGGGAGGTGAGGGAGGGGGGAGTCACCAGCAGCGAGCTCCGTGTTCATGTGGGTGTTGTGCAAAATTCTTGTCAAGCCGGTTTTTGTCGGGCACCGGTTCCACACAGACTGCCTCCTTCACCATTTCGTTCTCCCTCCCTCCCTCCCTCCCTCCCGTGTTGGATGGGAGCAGGGAGCACCTGTGTCGGTTTGTGAGGATGTGGGCTGTGGAGGTGCACGGTGCAGAGGCCCCGGGCCCCGGGGGCCTCACAAACCACGGCCACGCTTTCGCTTCTCCATTCCACCTTCCGCGTGTTTTGGAAGCGCGTCTGGCAGCCCAGATCCGGCCTCTGGGGGGTGGGATCGGGAGTTGGGGCTCCGCCGGGCGCGAGTGCAGGGAGAAGGTGCGCGTACACGCGTCCGCGCGCACGTGAATGATTAACTTGGTGGCCTGTCCGGGTTTAGTGCAACACCGGCATGTACACCAGTTTGTGTGTGGAGGTGATATTTTTTGCCAGGGGAGGGTATGTGGCTCCTGTGAAGCTGTTATCTGAAGCGTAATGTTCAGATATGAAACCAGGTGTGTTGTTGACATACAAGCATTCTGAGGTAGGACAACATAGTTACATGATGCCTGATTGATTGTCTTCCAAAGACTCTTGTCACGCAAACAGCCGGGTCCTGTTGATTTCCCCTTCTGTCCCTCCCTTGCACACACACACGCACACACACACACACACACTGACTCTTTCTGTTTCTCTCTCAAAGGGAATTCCCAGGAAATAGTTATGCTGCTGATTAAGTGTGTGAACACTTGAAAACATGTACATGCTCTCCCCCTGTCTATCAGTCAGCCCTCGTTTCCCACTGTTTGCCTCGTCCCCTAAAAGTCAACAAGCAGTGTTTGGAGAGAGGACACAAACATCTTTGCGATGGAAAATAATCTTTATTGTATTCATCTATGTTAATTTGATAAATGACCTATTTGTAAAGGAATCATATATGGCCTCATCAAATACTGGACACTTGATAAAGGGCAATGCTGCACTTCCCTGTTTTCTGAAATATGTTGAAGATCAGCATCCAGTGTCAGAGATGACTCCATTTGCATTCCTGACAGACAGACTGTAGTGAAAAACGTCTTTTTTGACGTGAAGACATTGTGGAAACGTTCCTGCTTTACACACTATAGCGAGAAATTTCTCCTTGACATAGCTACATATATTTATTCCTAGCCTATAGGGCACGGTTGCCTTTTTTGTAGTGTAGTGAAGTTTTTTGTAGTGATATGGAAAATTAGTCCATACCATTAATACTTTTAGTATAGTTTTCCAGGTATGTTGTGGACTTGTGCGATATGAATGTTGTGAGATACGCATTAGGACACCCACACACACTGTGCCAGAAGGCTGACAGTTTTTGTTTTTGTACAAGAAATTCCATGTTTTGACCCTATCTTTTCCCCTCCACTCCATCATTGACTTCCCTCCGCATGCCGAATTTCTTCATCTTCTACTCTCTGGCTGTACTGACGCAGCCCGTTTGATTCATTCTCATTTCTTGTAATGTATACATGTAAGTCATTCAAGTGCTGCTCCTTCTGCACAGCCTCCTTTTAGCTTCATTACTTTTTGTAATCTTTTGTTCTCACAACAAAACCCTTGTTTCTCAGTGGCCTTTGGGCATTAAGTACGGACACACAAAGTAACACACATAGCAACTGAATCGCACACGGGGGAGGAGGAGCCGGAATGCATTCCAAATCGACTCTTTCTTCAGTGTTTTGGCCTGTGTACACATGTGGTTGTATGTGCATGTATGTTTAATGTGTGTGTGTATGGGTGTGTGTATATATATGAAATGTGTGTGAGTGTGGAGTTTGCCTTAAATGACTTCCTGTTCAAGCTTTTGCGGAGCTCCAAAGCCAAACCGTTTTCCTTCAGCCTCTGTCCCCCCCATCCTGCGTCTGTGCTGCCGGTGCTCCTGCTCTGCCCTGTGCAGCCCAGCCACAATTCAATTTAGACAAATTCCAAGTGGAATTCAGTTAAAATGCCTCCTGAACAGCCAATTAAACAAGCAGAGGGAGACCGTTTGTCTACAGTAAAGCTTGGCTTGTGTTAATGTCTTGATGTAAAAGTAAAGTGAAGTTAACTCAGCAGCAAACAGACGGGGCTTTTTGGACTGAGGTTTTATCTGCTTTACGTATCCATTCAAATACTTTTTGCTATTTAGAAAAACGGAGAGGGACTACATTTGGTGGTTTAGTCAAGATTTGAGAAGTGTACTTATTTTCCACATTCACATTCATCAGTATAGCACAATTTGCAACTAAATGAAATTACTTGGTTTTAATCAGGTCCTGTAAACGAAGTCACATGAAATCACAAGTCTAGTTTTGGGGAATTTGACATTAAACATTCTGCCCTCTCCATAAATCTTTGTTTTTTTAACAAGTCCTGATTAAACCTGAAACGTCACAGGTCTTTGTTGTTTCCTCCAATCTGATTGGGATTTAATTTGAAGTGACATGCAGATCAAAAGTGTAAAGTGAGCAAAATCTAAGGACACTATAGACATGGATGGAGGTACATCTGTAGCCCCTTTTCTTTAAACCTTTCAGATGTTTTCATGGCTTACAACTTGTTCAGTACTGATGCCAACGGAAATGTGTTTTTCGGAGCAAAGTGTTAAGGTGATTAATCATTTTACGCATGCCTGAATGAAACAGCCGTTATGCACCTTTGACCTCTGTCTTTTTACCCTTAGTAAAATCTGTTTCACCTTATTAAAGATAAACACTTAGACTTTGAGCAGTGTAAGACTGGACGTCTATATCAAGGTTAAATACATTTTTAAAAAAGATACAAACTGAATTCAGAAAAAAAGCCCTTCTAAGGTGGCCATATAACTTCTGTGCTTTCAGATTTAGTTTACCTTGTTGGCTGGCTGAACAACGAGTCCTTGCTGCCATGGCTTAAATGAAATTGGTGTGTCTTCCCGGGTGGTATGTTTACATGCCAGTTGGACTGTAGCTGATAACCACCAGCGAATACCTCAGAGTGGTTCGGTGCAGGGTAGTAAGTGCCAGTTGCACCAGTTCTCACCAGAGAAAAGTGGCAGATGTTAGACGTTGTACGTGGGGTTCCATTTAGTATGAAAGGTGCAGCAGTTTTCTTGCAAGCACCTGCAACAGGTGAGCTTAGCTCAACATGAAGATCGGACCCATGTGCAAGTTCATCTTTGAACCTGAGTTCAACTGCTAAAACAAGCTGATTAAAAGCTTTTCCATTGCAAACGGTGGCGTGTTTACCTGCAGGGAGACAACTCGCCTGCAACTGGACGTCAGAGCTGCTACCACCCAAGACACAAGTCTGTATGCTACAAGAACATGAGGGGAGGGCTTTACACGGTTTCCCGCAGGCTGTGATGGAACACAGTTTGTGATAAACACGACTGGGAGATAATTAGGTTAGTTTATCATTGTTGACTGGACAGCGGAAGTAAACCCCCACACACAGCAGGACTGAGACAGCAGCCGGCTGTAACGCAGACAGGTAAAACGGATCTCCCGCTTACGTTTCTAGAGACAGTATGGCCAGTAAATAAGTGTTTATGTTAAGGGGAAAAAGTGGGCCCACATTTGTTAGCCCTCAGGGCACAACTGTCATTCAGTGTTAGTGTCTGCAGCAGGGTGTTGGGTTTCCATCAATGCTGATTGGAGCTGGTGCCTTCTAAATGCCTGTGATTAATGCAGAGTCATTTGACACGGGAGTCAAAAGCATCACTTTCCCATTGTATTCCAAAACCAGATGTTACTGGGTGTTTGTGGGTTTTGAAAAAGGAAATCATTTTGAGGGCAAAATTTATAACTTCAGGCTTAAATGAGTGATTTTGCAATTGTTTGGTCACGTTCACCATTAACAAGTTGGACTTTAGACCCAATGTTTCATGGCAAATTTCTTACTTTCCAAAAGTTATGCTAAATTTCAATTTCCTTTGTTTGTCTTTTTAACAAGAGGTGATTCAAGCATCATTTGTGAATAAAATGATTATTGTTTGAACCCTCAAAGTTGACATTTTCAAAGACTTAACATACATTTAACATAGGACAGTAAATTCAGAATAACAGTCAAATGGTTGAGAGGATAAAATAAAGCCAAAGATAAACTTCACATCTTATGTTTCATTAGCGTAGCGGTATGTGGAAGGAACACGTCACACACTGTCAGATGTTTGGGAGCTCAGGGAAAAGAAATGAGAGGGAAAAGAGGACGAGGCACGGGATGGTGTGAGCGTCTGACGCCATGTCGAGAAACCTTCTGACATAGTGACATAGTGGTGTGAAACGAGTGCTGGATGGATAGATGGAGAGAGATGGAGTGGGGTGGAAGGTCAACCACAGCCACATGTAAAGTGTGGGACTGACATCTGGACTGCTCCCTCTCCACTTCTCTGCAGATTTGACCTTTTCTCTTTCTCGGCTTTGCTGTTTGTCTTTATCTTAAAATCTCTTCTCATCATTCATTACTTTGTCACGTCTTTCCCCCCTTCTGTTTATCTGTCTGCCTATGTTTTTTTGGTCTTCTCCACTCTTGGATTTTATCTGACTTTTCTCTTTGGTGTTTCTTTTCCTCCTCATGCATTGCCGTTAGTTTGAATGTTAAGTGTATTCAAACCACAAATCCTTTTGTCTTTCCAATGCTTTGTAAGAATAAATAAAACTTTTAATTTACTTCCAGAAAAATATTGAGACAAAAAAGGCCTTTTTACAGAAGTGAATTGCCATTTGTTTGTGCTCTTTACTAAAGTTTGGAGTTGGAAAATACTGTTGTGGTTATTGCTGGGACTGAGATTCAGTTCTGATTTCCTAAATAAACAAAATTCCAATTCAAGAGATTATGATTCTACTTACTATAATTGCGGATACATTCAGTATCCAAAGAGCTGCAGCACATGAGCCTTCAGGCTGCGATTGACTGTGGTTGAGCTTGTCCCTCTTATACAGTATAGTGCAGGTTTTTTATTTCGTACATCATACATCATCCCACAACATCCGGTTGAATTTGCTTGCTGCAAACCAACTAATTAAAGTGTTCATGATGCACGTTTTCTATGGTTTCACAACCAAAAGTGTCCTCTCTACATTGTTGAAGAGTGCAAAAGCGTGGAGTTTTACAGTATGGTCTTTGTCATCTGGCCGGGATTGGTTATCTTGCTTTGTGACCAGAAATAATAAGCTCTCCTCCATTCCACCGTATACTTTACACAATACTCCTGACTAACTGCTCTTCCTGAAGAATCTTAGCTAAGGGAACTTTCTTCAACTAAGTCACCAACACAGATGGTCTTTTTTCCATAAAATACGATCACACTGCCTTATTAAAAAAGATCACATTTAGCGTCACTGCCAAGCAAACCAAACAAAATTTTGCTT